GCCACATCTTTCTGGGTAAGCTGTGAAATTGGCTCTTGTAGATCAGCTTTGTTTCCAATGAACTTTTCTAAGTAATTGACAGTTCCTAGTATTCGAAGTACGCCTTCTTTGTCAGAAGAAGGAGGCATCTCACTGATCGCGCGGATCTTATCAGGGTCAGGTTTCAATCCCTCGGCTGAGAACACATGTCCAACATAGCTTACTTCAGGAACACGAAGTTTCAGTTTCTTTGGATTGAACTTCAATCCTACTTCTCTGCTTCTATCCAGTACTCTTCTCGATTTCTGATCAGTGTCAATTTGATCCTTACCATGTATCAGGAAATCATCCACTATAATCTCCACAGGAACCCCTTGAAAGAGTTTGTCGAGGCGTGAGTAGTCCAGTGGTCAGTGCGCTGGACTCTAGGTCAGATGGCCCGGGTTCAAGTCCTGGCTGGGGCTTGACGTTGTGTCCTTAAGCAAGACGCTTCACTCACATTGCTTCGTCTTCTCGGATAGGACGTAAAGCCGGAGGTCCCGTCTCCTGCACCTATCAATTGGCAAGGGACGTTAAAGAACCCACATCACGAGATTACTGTGATGTGGTCTGGCCTGTTTACTGGGAAAGGGGGGAGGGGGCATCTGTAAAAAATTTCTCCTTTATTAATTGTAAACTGCCGCCGGCAGTCTGGAAAAGTCCCCCGCACATTGTTGTAAAGCGCATTAGAGCATTTACATGGAAATGCGCTATAGAAATTGATCTATATATTATTATTTGTCCATCTCTCTTTGGTAAATTTCAGGGGCAGAAGAGATGCCAAAAGAGAGCCTTGTAAAGCGATATCGACCCCATGGGGTATTGAACTTTAAGAGCTTTGAGCTTTTATCATCCGCCGGGAGCTGCCAGTATCCACTGCAAGCATCCAGGGACATGAAACTCTTTGCACCCGATAATCGGTTGCTGTATTGAATTTGTATTTCTGGTTCTCGGCTGCCTCGAATATACGGCAATAATCATGAGCAGTTTGCAGCGTTAAATCTGGTTTCTTCAGCAGTTCACCTCGCAATTCGTCTGACAAAACTCCTCCAACAATACGATCACGAATGAGTGAATCTCGGAGGTCGCCAAATTCATAAGTTAAGGACAGTCTTTTCAGTTCACTGACGAAATTGTCAATCTTCTCACCTTCCCTCTGGTTTCGCTGATTAAACACCAGTCGCTCATAAATTACATTCTTGGCACCCTGGCACAATTGTTCAAATTTGCGGCAGACATCTTGATAGCAATCTTTGTCTTCTTCACCCGTAAACACGAAGTGACTGTACTCTTCGATAGCTTCTGGCCCAGCACAATGTAACAGCAAATTTACTTTTAGCTTGTCCGCTTTATTATCCATTCCCTTCGCAACAAGGAAGATCTCAAATTGCATAAAAAATTTCCTCCAATTCTCAGCAGCATTCGCGTCTAGGAGCAGTGGACCGGGCGTTCGAGAGTTTCCCTCGGCCATTATACAAGATACAGAAATACAATTCACAGGAAACTTGCTTGTCCTATCAACTCGTCTCACAATGCGGCAAATTCGGATCCCACTCCTGACACAAGGTTATAATGTCATTCAGTCAAAAATCAACAATAAACTGAGCCTTTCAATGCCCGCTAACTATAAAGTTCGATCGTCTAACGCGCACATGACTTCCCGTGTTCGGGGTGCCCATGAAGTCTTTCAGGGGTCCCTAAGGGGATCCGCCAAGGTGTCAATATTAAAACAGAGACGATGATTACCTATGCTTCTTTTAATTTTGCCAGTTCATTGAAAATAATTTTTGTATCTTATTGCAAGTCCATTTTTGAGACTTCTGTTTTTTGATGTTCCGTCATTCCTTGTCTTAAAAATTTTCCACCACTCCAACAATCCACCATTCCATCATTCAGTATTGAATAACTCAATATATCATCTTTAGCAGGCACTATGCACAGTTAGTGACCCAGAAAAATGTTCTCTTTTCATAAAAAAACAAATTTTCCTCAAAGTTTACATGATGTGAGGATCACGTCTACTGAGATAGTTCTGCAGGGAAAGGTTTTGAATCTAATTATGTGTTGGTGGATGCCACTATGAAATTATTTTGAGATATTTATCGTCTTTTGCAGTGTCACGCATGGCAAGAACTAATGAGAATATATCTCTGGATCTACAGAATTTAATGACTGAAACTGTAAAACTCTCTTTCTTCAAAGAAACAAATTTCCCCCAATTTTTATGCTAATCACACCAAATAAGATATATTTGCAAAGAAAACTTTTGCTTTATAATAATGATAATAATAATAATGGAAACTTTATTTGTGTTTTTAAATGTACAACTGTAAATCTCACTACGTATAGGCAATTTACAAATGCTGCATGAGAATAAAAATTTCATTAAATTTGGGTTGTCCCAATTCCTATTTCTACAACAAAAGACGTAATATATTGCTCTAATAGCTATACTTATCATTTTCTTGATTATGTAAAGTTGCTGCTTTTTGGCAATGCCTATGTCATTCATCATGCCTAAGGACGTAGAGCATTTATCTGAGAAAACGCCAAGGGAGCTCATGGAGAGACTTACAAATTTCACACATCTGAAAGTTCTACTCATTTCGTTAATCAAGTTCCGATATTTTTCTTATTTTACGTACTACATTGTTGTACAAGTTAGATTCGAAACCAACTGTTAATTCTAGAACATATAGGCACTTGGACTGGGTTAGGAAAAGAAGATCTGGGCGATAATTTTCACCAGTTATTATTGAGGGATTTAGAAAACCAGTAACATCTGCATAGATTGAGGAGCTAACATTAATTACAGGTTGAAGGGACTTGGCAATGAAGTTAAGGATTGAGTCGTGTCTCCAGGTAAAGCGATCAAGGCATTGTTGACAACCAGCGACAACATGAAGGAGTGACTCAGGATTAAGGCAAAAGGAACAATCAGGACTTTGTGATAATCCCCATCTTACCAAATTCTTACGTGTAGGAAGAGAGTTGTTGATGTAGCGGATGGTAAAGTTGTAAATGTTCTTCGGTAGATGAGACTGGGCCACTGACCAAATAGAATT